TTGTATATATATTTTCCCATCAATTCACTGAGAAGTTACCTTCCCATAGGTCTTTCCTCGGGGTGTGACATTTTTAAGGCAATCAGGCTTTTGACTTTTGAGGATATTTCTCCTGTATTATTGGGCCAAGAGAGTTTCTGCATCCTTTAGTTTTGGGGTCTGGTGTTGCGCCCACACTTAGGAGGAGGAAGGGGAAAGGAGAAAAACACCATCCTGCACAGAGAACTACAGCTCATGGTAAGTGTTCTGAAGGGAACTGCAGTGCAAATGGATGATTTTGGCTGCTCAGCGTCTGAATGTCTTTACTTGAGGGCAGTGATGGGGACTGGGACAGGACCCACCAAGGAGGCCAAGCGGACACAGATGCGTCTTCCTAACTCCTGGCAGCCAGAAGATGGGGTGTAAGCCAAGCATGGCCACTTTGATGTCCCTTCCCAAGACTTTGAACCTTGAGGGAATAATGTTCAAGTTCAGGGTCAGTTAGAGATTGTATTAGTGATCTATTACTATGTAAGAAATTACCCTAAAACTGACTGACTTGAAATGACAAACATTTATTATTTCACAGTGTCTGTGGGTCAGGAATCCAGGAGCAGCTTCGCTGGGGTGGTTTTGGTTAGGGACCCTTCACAAGACTGCAGTCAAGGTATAAGCTGAGGCTGCAGGCACCTGATGCTTCCCTAGGGCTGGAGGACCCACTTCTGTACTCTCTTATGCAGATCATGGACAGAAGCTTTGATTCCTCGCCATGTGGGCTTCTCTATAGACTAGGTGTCTTCATGACATGGCAGCTGGCTTTCCCAGAGGGTCTGATGAAGGGCAGGGTGGGGTGGGGGGTGGAGAGGGACAGAGAGAAGGAGGGAGAAAGGAGAGGGAGGGAGGGAGAATAGAGACAGATGATCCAGTCCAAAGGTTATTGAGTGGGAGTTCCCTGTTACTTAGGAATTGGCACTATGGCCCATGGCCAAAGCCAACAGGCGCTATGTACCTTGCATTCCAAATGAGAGGCAGATACTTTCCCCCCAAAGTTTGCTAAAAGGGGCCTAACTGGTCCTAGATCCCTTAGCCAAAACATCACTTTCTTTTTCCTTGCCCATCTAATAATCCTGGGGAGGGAGGACTTCTTTGGTTTTATTAAGGATTATATGTTATAGTAGAAGACAATTCCCTCCCCCTGCACTTTAATTGGGAGTCTCTCATGGAGATTGAGGGGTGACTATAAGAAAAGATGCAAGGATGCTGTTCCCCAACAGGGGCCTACTTGGTAGTGAATTTGCTGATGTCCCCCTCTGCCTATCTGAGCAGGGGAGAGAGGGGTCACTGTGGAGCAGCTGACTAGGATGTGTGAGTTTCTCTGGGTCAAGTAGACCCTGCGGTAGTTAGCCAGGATTTCTGCTATTCCATCCAAGCATGCTGACTGCTGAGCAAGAGGGTCCCCCCTGTGGCAGAAGCCTGGTGTTGGGGCAAGGTAGGAAAGCTCAGCCTCAGCTGGATGTCCCCTGTCAGAGAACTGTGCAGTGGGGAAGTCCCCAAGAAACTTATTCATGTGCCCCCTGAAGAAACAGGGTTGACCAAGAGAGAGAGGGCTATTGCAGAGAGCTGTTCCCACTCCATCCTCCCAATTTCAACACAGGGGAAGGTGCAGGGGCATGTCTCCCAGCCAGGCCATGTGCTGCCCTCTACCTCCTTATCCAAGCAGGCAGGGACCTGGCTCAATCAACCCTTGGATGAGTAGAGGAAAAGCTAAAATGAGATTTAAATTGAGTGAGAATAAAGCTTTCAAGGATGGAGGTTTACCAACAGAAAGTGATCCAAAAGTAATGCAATCTGCCCAAGATGTCATTAGGGGATGGAAAAGGGAAATTCGACACAGCATGACGGAAGGTGGAGATTAGGGGAACGAAGTTTCGTTATTATGCCGGACCAAGTTGAGTTGCCTCAGCACAGCGGTTTCAGGAGTAAACAGAATAATTAAAGTACAGTGTGGTAGGCCTGGAGTCTTGCTCAGGTAAGCTGCCTCAAGGTTTTGAGAGGGCATGGGAGTTAGGTGTGCACACCCCAGGTTGGCTTTTGGGGAGGGTTTTCCAGAGGAGGAAGGGGCTCTTGAGTTGAGCTTTGAGAAGGAGTTGGTCCAGTGAAAGGAGAGTGGAGAGGAGCTTTCTAGGCAGAGCTGACAGCATAGCCTGGAGCAGCACGTTGAAGGCAAGAAGGCCACTGAGAGATGCAGGCCAGGAAGCCCATGGCCTTGAGGCCTTGTGAACTCAAGGAATGGGGACTCTGGGGGGCTGTGTCAAACCTGGGAGCAACACAATCGGGTTTGCATATTAGAACCACCTGGTCACCAGGCTTTGGCAGTACTGTGGCCTTGACCTCCAGGCACACTTCTTACCCATTCACCTGGTCCTATGGCTCGTACTCTCCTACAAAGGCCATTTTCTCTGTGATGCCAAAATCCTGGGCCCCCACTCTTTCGATTGTCCTTTGCCTTACTCTCATTACCGAACACTTCATCGTTCCGCCCCCCCCCTTTGATGGGGCTCGGAAATATCACCATCCCCCCTATAAATCATCTTTTCTCTTTCTTCCTCCAGCATACTCTTCTGAGCCCAACAAGATTCTGTGCCTTCTCTGGGCCTGTGTCTGCCAGCACATGTTTCCCCGAAATGTACATATATTAAAATATCTTCCCTTTAGCTCATCTGGTCTTCACCCCATGGGGCAACCCGAAGGCTACTATTTATCCTTTCACACATTAATTTAAGCTGCTTTAATTGCTGCTCTGATATGTTTTATATAATATTATGAATGTTTTAATTCTGTGGACTTGCTTCTCAAGGCAGTTTTGTGAAGGGCACAATTTTGGAATCAAGGAAATAAAGAATAAGTAATGGCTGAAGTTACAGTAACGCCCCCCCCCACCCCCTGAAAGCTTGTTTTTTCTGAGTGGGAGGAAAAGGGAAAAGATATTTTAATGTTCTCTTCATCCTGGGCCAGTTTGTGTGGCTTTCGTGAAGTCCCCTGGATGCTGATTTCAAGTGTTCCTGGACTGCTGGCATCTGACCACCAGTTTGAGGTCTGTGTTGCGACTACCACCTGGGCGTCTCCTCCCGCCACATCCTTCCTGGTGGAGCCTGTGCTTAGAATGAGAAGCTACTGAACACACTCACTCACTTACTTATTCATTCAGCAATTGCGTGTTGGTATTCCATCGTGTGCCCAGGATGGATAGGTTCCCTCAAGGAGCTCACAATTAGCTGGGGCCAGGCAGATGGACTTTAGTCCAGCACGATGATGCTGTGGGAACATGGAGGAGGCAGTAAGGTGGGGCGGAGTAACTCCCTCTGTCTCAGGGAGTTGAGAGAAGACTTAAGAGGAGGTGAAATTTAAACTTGGTTCCAGGAAGGAGAAGGGAAGGAAGAAAACAGCCAGACACAGTAAGGAAAATAGTTAGAAAAAAACAATTGCGTGTTTGGAAAGTGGGGAGAAGGTGAACATGGGCGAAGCCAGTATGCATGGGAGGACAAGACAGGGAGTGAGTGTGGGGACAGAGGTGGGGACAGAGGTTGGTGAAGGGCTTGCTGTGTCAGGAGAAGGAGTCTGGACTAGCCTGAGGGCATAGGGGAGCCCAGAGAGGTTTTTAAGCAGCCAGGTGCCCCATCAGATCAGATCTTGGGTTCACAAAGAGAACTGCAGCAGTATGAAGAGAGAGAGAGAGAGA